CACTGCTCTCATTTAGGCCCACGTAAGTACAGAAAGGAGGCCTTTGAGGGTGGCAATACAGGGTCTGAAAATATAAAAATACATCTTGAGACAAAGCTGAAGGAAGAACTGAGTCATGGTAGCAAAGCCTCGCGTCATTCCTCCCCTCCTTCTCCCAGCAGCTCTTTGGTGGGGCTGCCTTCTCTGCCTGAGAGCCTTCCCAGAATCATGGATTGGATAAAGAACCCATAAGGGTCAGGAGGTTAGCTGGAATGTCAGATGGTATGCTGTGTGCCTTGCATGCAGTCAAGAGAGGAAAAATGATGGGGGACTGTGTTCTTATAACCTAGGACATTAGAAACTGGAAGAGACTTAGATTCATTGCATATAGTCCCTTCATGTTAAAACTGAGGAAGTTATGATTTCTCTAAGGTCACCCAGAGAAGATAGAATTAAAATACTGGTTGCTGATTTGCAGTCATTGTTGTCTCCTCCTCCTCCTCCTCCTCCTCCTCCTCCTCCTTCTCTTCCTCTTCCTCCTCTTCCATCATCATCATCAAACATAGGGCCTGGCTTTTGCTAGCCAAGTGCTCTGCCACTCAGCTACATATCCAGGCCACTCCCCCTCTTTTTTATTTTTTTAATTTGAGACACGGTCTCACTTGCTAAATTGCTGAGACTGGCTTCGAAYCCGCCATCCTCCTGCCTTAGCCTCCCAAGTCATTGGGATTACAGGCATGTGCCATCATGCCAGGCTTCCTTGGGAAATGTTTTTGCTAGGCCCTTGTGACATCAGAACTAGAGCAAGTGGAAGGGATAGGGAGGAAAAAGGCAAGTCCTCTTAGGTAGAGCAGAATTCCTGTCTGTCTTTCTGCTTTAGGGCCTCTCTTCCAAAGAAAGAGTTGGGCTCCACAATTTGTGTGTGTGTGTGTGTGTGTGTGTGTGGTACTGGGTATTGAACCCAGGGGCACATAGCTCCTGAGCCACATCCCCCAGCCTCTTTTTGTATTTTATTTTGATACAGGGTCTCACTGAGTTGCTTAGGGTCTCACTAAGTTGCTGAGGCTGGCCTTGACCTTGCAATCTTCCTGCCTCAGCCTCCCTAGCTGCTGGGATTAAAGGCATGCACTACCCTGAGCTCCACTATTGAAGAGTGACTTTGACCCAGCAGAAGTGGGGGAAGGAGTTTAAGTTGGTGAGGAATTATTCATGGACAGTCCCTCCTCTTTTCTGCAATTGGTTCCTCAGGAATAGGTATCCCAATTGAAAGGGGCAAGCCTCCTTGGGGACTGGTCTCAGGAGAAAGGCAGTGGCTTAATAGAGTGGAGATGATGTCCCTCCCCCCACAGCCTCTCCACAGGTCTGAACCACTTACCCATACAACTCCAGAGACTTGTGGAGAGTGTAGACTGGCACCCCAGGTATTGAAGCTGTCTTCTGAATCCAGAGTAGACAGAGGCCGGAATGTTTGGAAGCAAAGCCAGCCAACTTTTTTTCTTTCTCTCTTTTTTTAATTAGTGGTATTGGTGATAGAACCCAGGGTACTCTTCCCCTGAGCTACATCCCCAGCCCTTTTTATTTTGAGACAGGGTCTCACTAAGTTGTTTAGGCTGGCCTTGTGATCTTCCTGCCTTGGCCTTCCAAGTACCTGGAATTATAGGTGTGTGCCATTGTCCTGACTCCAACCAACCTCTTATCATTTCCTTCCAGGCCCAGTGCTCCATGTGAGTCCAGAAATAGGTAGAAGCCTCTGGGAGGCTGACCAAGTGATACTTGTGGCTTGTCCCATCTATCAGGCACCTGACACGTACATTTATTATGTCCTGGTCTGGCCCCAAGTATATATATTAAGCTCAAAGTTCTGTCTTTCACCCAGAGGAAGCAGAGTTGTGGAAACTAGAGAACATAACTGTTTATTATTTTCCTTCTTCTCATGCCCAGAATGCTTCTTAATCAGTCAATCATAGGCTGAAGGACACCTAGGCTCCAGAGGCCTGAGCATGTTGGGGGAGCAGGTAGTTGGGCTATGGGTATTGAATTCTTTCTTAGAAGGTATTGGATTGGACTTGAGGCAGAACATGGCTGTGGGTGAGTGTGGAAGGCTTTATTTTTCCTTTCTGAGCCTTGTTTGAGGTCTCAACAAGGCTTCCAGGGACATTATTCTGGAGGTCAACCTAAGCCCCCACTTACGTCAGTGTCAGCAGGCAGTATGGGGACTACCTCCCTGTGTTCAGCCTGCTTGATTACGCTCTGCATGTTCTTGAGTGAACGAGGGGTAGTCTGGTGGTCGTTGGTCAGGATGACTTGAATCATTGGCTTGGGGGATCTTCCCCCTTCCCCCAGTACAGCCACTCCCAGCTCTTCAAAGATGAGGAGCACTGGGATCTGTCAGAAAGGGCTGGGCTGGCCCTCAAACACAAATGAGTCCATCAGCATTCTGTGTACAGCTGCACGTACACAGTAATTGATGAGGCGAGAGTCTGGGGGAACAGGATAGGTGGATCAATTTGGCTCGCTTTGGCACTAACAGGCTGGCTGCCCGACTAGCAGCAGGGGTAGATGCCTGGGGTGAGCCTGTGCCACTCTGGAGATGGAGATGCTTAAGCCCATGGGGCAGGTTTAGTGAGAGGCCCTTCTAAAACTGCACTGGACTGGTTCAAAGCCACAGGGTTCCATGGTTTGGTGGTCTGCAGATGGGAAATAGGGAAGCCTCTGGTCCATCCATGTTCACATTCTTGGCTTGTGAGTCCAGCTTTACCACTGTTCTGTAGAGGAGTTGCCTTTCCATCCAGGTTGGACCACAGGACAGGGGCAGAGGCTGTGTCTTAGCCCTGTTTGGACTAGTCTAAGCTGCCAGCCTTATCCTGTGGCTGTTCCCTTTACAGGCCAGGCTAGGCTACTATGTGTTCCCCAGCAAATTATTTTCTTGGACACCATAAAAGGCTAGTAGGGCAATATGGGGCATTAAGCCCACTGCTTTCCATCTCTTTTTTTTTTTTTTAAAGAGAGAGAGAGAGAGAATTTTCAATATTTATTTTTTTAGTTCTTGGCGGACACAACATCTTTGTTGGTATGTGGTGCTGGGGATCGAACCCGGGCCGCACGCATGCCAGGCGAGCGCGCTACCGCTTGAGCCACATCCCCAGCCCCTGCTTTCCATCTCTTAAGTGAGTGACAGGGGCTGCAGTGAGTGTCTGTGGTCTGGATTAGTTGGCCCATAGCAGTGGCTCCTTGTGTTCAGGTAGTAGTAACAATCAGTGGGACTTTCTTGAGCTGTAAGCCAAAAGCTTTTGTGGCAACCATCTGTTGCAGTCAGACAGCAAGGTATCTCTCTGGTCCTTCTATGGCTATATGTCCTTGAGGCCATGACTTTTCTACCAGAATCACTGGAAAGCTGTCCTGATGGTGAGGACAGCCCTGTTAGGTGACTGTTTGGCATTGTGATTTCCCTGTCACTTCCAGTTCAGCTCAAGAAAATTTGATATTTGCCTTCCAAAAGGCAGGTGAGGACAGCAGCTGCAAGCAGCTCAGCCCTTCCACAGAATTCCAGATGGTGTCTTTCTTTTCCTTGCCCCTGTTCAGCAGTGGGAAAGGGATAATAATAGTGCAAGAGGTCCAGGGGGCCAGACTAGGGGTGTCAGTAGTCAATGGGTATGACTGTCTGCTAAACGGTCATGTTGTCACCCCAAAAGTGGGCTTCCACAGATTTCCCTGAGTTCCCTGGAGAGCATGTTCAGGGCTTCTCCAAGATGAAGGGTGCCATGGGGTGGAACAGGCAGACTTCAGTGACAGGAAGGAAAGTTATGGTGCCTCTGGCATCCCAGCAGAGACTCTGCAGTAGGATCAGGAAAGGTCCTAAGGGCTTAGCCACCCATCCCTTGAGGAGCATCAGAGCCCATGCCAGATATGCTCCTAGGAGAGCAAGGACTCAGCCTACCCTCCAGAAGGGGCCCAGGACATATGGGCTCTGCCGACTGAACCCCATGGCTTGGAAGCAGCTTCAGCTGAGGGCACACATCAATCAGTATGTAAGGGTGGTTAACTCACTAAGCCTGTACCTACTGTGTGCCTCCTGTACGCACTGTGCCAAGCACTAGGGCTCAGCACCATCTAATGGGAATAATAAACTTTAATTCACAGTCTTCAAGTTATAGCTAGAATAACAGCCATAAGCACTGAGGGCTCACAGAGTATCTGAGAACCTAAGGATATCATACTGAGAATCTAAGACTCAGCCAATTGAAGACAAGCCAGGCAGGTGGCCCTGAAGTGGATAGGTGCTTGGTGTGTAGCCCTGAGATGAACAGGTGCTCAGTGTGTGGTGTGTGTAGCAAAGCAGTCTTTGTGGAGTTCCTCCCTTTGGACAGAACATAACATTAGGAGGCTGGTGCATAGGAGCCCTTCATGCCTCAGAGAAGTCATGCAAACTAGAGAGTACCCCTGGGTGTCTGGCTTTAAGAGCTCCTGTCAGCTAACTGAGAAATCTAGAAGCTTTGATTTTCCTTTTTTACCCCAAGGCTAAAGGTATGCTTTGGCAGTTGAAAGGAGGTGGGACCCAGGTACTTAAAGGTACCAGGAAGCTCCCCTTTAAATGATCTGTTTTGACCATCCAGGTTGGAGTTTAAGTCTTGTCTAAAGATGTGGTAGAAATGTTTGGGTTGTTCTGTCTGAAGTTTTCCCTGATTATGGTGGTCCTGGGGTAGGTTGAGGGTCTTGTCAGGGGTCACCTCCCTGAGCCAGGCTTTGGGTTCATAGCACTTAGAAATGTTCTCTGGGAAAAAGAATGGGTCCTTTTCCTCTGTCAAGACTCCTCATGATCCAGAGGTCAGCTCCACTCAGAAGCCTAGGTCAGTGTTGGGTGGGTAGGAGAGGCCCAGAATACTACTTGGGAGGATGAAGCATTGCCTCTCCCTAGGAAGTGCAAGGCCTCTGGGCAGGTCCCAGTGTTGTGGTGGCAGCATCATCCAGATGGGAGGGCAGTGTTGGGTACTCTAATTCTAATGCTTATCCTTGGCTTCTAGCCCTGGCCCAGTGTATCCAATCTGGCCAAGGACTTCATTGACCGCCTGCTGACAGTGGACCCTGGAGCCCGTATGACTGCACTACAGGCCCTGAGGCACCCATGGGTGGTGAGCATGGCAGCCTCTTCATCCATGAAGAATCTGCACCGCTCCATCTCCCAGAACCTCCTCAAGCGTGCCTCCTCACGCTGCCAGAGCACCAAGTCGGCCCAGTCCACCCGTTCCAGCCGCTCCACACGTTCCAACAAGTCACGCCGAGTGCGGGAGCGGGAGCTGCGAGAGCTCAACCTCCGCTATCAGCAACAATACAATGGCTGAGCCACCAGCTGTGGCACAAATACGACATGGTCCCAGACTGGCTGGGCTCGGCTGTGCCCTCTGGGCCTGACATCCTCTGTGAAGACAGGCCTCATGGTTAGTGGTATATAGAGAATGTCTGGCCCTGGCCCTTTCTCTGTGCCTTTAGCAGCCCCTGACCTTATCATGGGCCTGGGCCTGGTGTGATGGAGTCGAGGTAGCCCAGGAGGGTCATGACTCCCCTGAAATGGGAGCCTGGCCTGGCACTGATACCCTTTTTGGTGGGTAGCTGCTTTGTGACTTGGGGAAAGGGACAGGACCTGGCCTTCACTGTCTTCCTCATTCTTTGGATCTTTTCCAACTGAAGGGTCCTGCAGTCCTGGGAGTGAAGGGTGTCCTATGGTCCAGGACCCTTTGGAGTAGTTACTTTGGGCACCCCCTGTTTTGCCACAGAACCTTCCTTCCTAGCTCCCCACATTCCATGCCATTCTGATYCTTCAGATTATGCTCCAGTGGCTCGGGAGGTTGAAGCAGAAGGAACATGAGTTCAGAGCCAGCCTTAGCAACTTAACAAGGCCCTAAGCGACTCAGTGAGAACCTGTCTCAAAATATAAAAAAAGGTTGGGGATGTGACTCAGTGGTTGAGTGCCCTGGGTTCAATCCCTAGTACCAAAAAAAAAAAAAAAAAGATAAAAAGATTATGCTCCAGTGGGAGGCCTGGCTTTGGCCTTAGATAGACTGTAAATCTCCTTCATTGGACCCAAGCAGCCTCTACCTCCCAGCCAAGATCTTCCTTCATGGTGCCACCAGGGACCCCTTCTAACCCAAGTCTTCCAGGACCTCTTGTGTTAGGGCCATGGAATGGACCTTAGCCATTGCTGATGGCCAGCTTGAGTGGGGTCCTCCCCAATATACTCAGTGCCTTTTTTGCAGCACTCACTATTGCCTTCCTCTCCCCCTTAGATGTCTATTTCATTCCCCAGGTGCCTCCTTCCCAACTGTTGGGGTTTAAAGGGAGCCCCACTGCTGCTACCCAGGGGATGGGGGCACCTGGGCCAAGGCAGATGGTTCTCCCTTAGGTTCCCATGGCCATCTCTAATTTCATCCTTTGGTATGATCCATTGCTTCTTCCCTTCAGGTGTCACTGTACCCTCTTCTGCAGCTTCATGAAGGCGCCATCTGGTGTCTAGTCTGGGTATGGGCAGCCTCTGGGTGATGAATGCACACCCATCTTGCATAGATAACCAAAGTCCTCTAAAAGAAAGTGGAAAGGAAGGAACTGCTACATTGAGAGAGGGTTGTGGGCTGCTCAACTCCCCTTCTGCTCAGCTTCTCCCTGGAACTTAGCCATACTGTGTGACCTGCTTCTGAACCCTGGGTGCCTAGGGTAATGACTGATCTTGCTGTGAGAGCTGGCCTTGCCCCACCCACCCTGTGTCAGCTTCCTTTTACAGCATTAACCCTCCAGTCTGGGGCCTGCTGAGTCTCAGGCTGGAGGGAACCCTTGTGGGAAGTGGGTGGGGTTGGCGGGGCTTCTTTTTTAGAGGCCTGAGCCAGAACTGTCCCCATGGCTGTCATGATGTCTACACCAACACAAACCAGGCTGGAACCCAAACCTTCTTCCTCCACAGCTGCTTTCAGTGGGCAGAAAGGGCCAGGGGCCAGCTTTGGCCTTAGTTAGAGCCCCTGCCAGCAGGGAACATTTGACCCCTACTCAGCTCCTCCCTTTGGGCAGCCTTGGGCCAGGCCCTCCTCTCTCTGCACGTGCTGTTTCCAGAGGAAAACCAAAGAGACCACTCTGTGCCAAGTCAACTGTGCCTTACACACCCCTGTCTTCTGTTCTGACTGCCCTCTGGGCAGAAGGCAGTGGAAAGCTCAAGCCCAAGGGCTTCACAAATTCTCCCAGTTCCATMAGTGTTTCTGGGGGCCTGAATCCCTGAGGATTTTTTTCCCCTCTTGCCCAGGGTAGGCCTGAGGGTAGGATAGATGGAGTTTGGAGTTTTGAACCTTTGATAGGCCTTTATGCCATGGACCGTGGATGGAGAATGTGCAGTTATTTATTTTGTGTACTCAGTTTGTAAATGTATCCTCTGTATTCAATAAACAGGCTGCCCTCCCCAAGGAAGGCTGCCCATTCATTCTAAAATCCCTGTGTACTGTGGAACCAAGGGGTTGCCCCAGAGGAGGAGGGATGAGGGCCCCAGCCTGGGCTGGATACTGTAGAAAGATCTTTACTCCAGACCTTTCTGTGTCAGAAAGGTGGGGATAGAACTAAAAAGCCTCTCCTTTTCCCTGTGCCAGGAGGACAGACAAGAGGACTCAGACTAGAGTCTTTTATTGGATTGAAATGGGGAGGGAGCCTGTGGTAGGCTCAGTTGTAGGCTATGACCTGATTGATCCAAGTGTTGAACTTGCTAACTCGAGTGTACACGGCAGGTGCTTGCACATCACAATTATTGGTGCCCCAGGAGACAACACCAATAAGCACCCATGTGTTCCCCTTCTGGCAAACAAGAGGGCCTCCAGAGTCACCCTGAGAGGGAAGAGAAGTCAGTATGACAGGTTGGGGAGGTATGCTGTGGAACAATGCAGAGGACAGAGTGCTTGTGCTCACCTGGCATGAAGAGGCACCTGAGGCACCTGCACAGATCATGGAGTCAGTGATACGTGAGCCCCAGTACTGCCGGCATTGATTCACGGTGACTAGAGGTAGAACCACCTGCTGCAGACGTGCTGGTGTCACATTGCCTGTGGGCCAGGAAGGGATGGTCAGGTTGGTCCAAGATACCTCCCTCTCCTCCTGTTCAGGGCCCAGGTTCCTACCCACGCCACTGAGGCGTCCCCAGCCAGTGGTGACACATGTGAGGCCTTGAGGCAGTGCCTCATTTGAGGAAGCCAGGCAGACTGGTGAGATGTAGGTTGTGTATCGTGCTGGTGAGGCAAGCTTCAAGAGCGTCAGGTCATTGTTCAGAGTGGTGGGGTTCCAGCTTGGGTGTGTAATAGCCTGTGGAGCAGGAAGGGGCCATGTAGGGCTGGGATGGGCACAGGTACCCATCAATGGTGCTGAGATGGATAGGCCAGGACATGCCTGAATTCTTTCCCAGAGGAACCCACCTGTGACCCATTCTTCCTTCCCATGCATGCAGCCAGGCACTTACCTTTGAGATGGATAGTACCTGCACAGGCTCGGTGTTAGAAGATCGGTCGTACTCACCCAGGACAGCAAAGTGGCGCCCAGGACTGCAGTAAGAGATTGGTTGGGCATACGCTGGGAGGGCAGAGCAAGAGAGGGGCAGCCAAGTGGGCAGAGCAGGTGGGGTACAAGTACTCACCTGACATTGCAGTGGGCAGCAGTGACTACCCAGTACTGGTTGATGAGAGAGCCACCACAGAAGTGGAAGCCACTGCCGTCCTGGAGTCAGGGGTCAGAGTTGGAGGTGAACTCAGATTATATGTAGGCATGAAGCACTCAGGACCCTACCCCACCCTCAGGGTGTATATACCTGCAGGGAAACCTGCCAGGGCCAGGAGCCTGGCACAGCATTCTCCCCGTTGACAATCCTCTGGCTGAAGCTCAGTGATGGTTTAATGGCAGGAACTCCACAGCCTGACCATCCGGTTGGTGAGAATCAACACCCCAGCCCACCTCTCCCCACCTGCTTCCCCTGGATGTCCCCAGGCTGTGTGCCCCAGAGAGATCCAAATCAAAAGGAATTGTCACTAGCCCTTCTTCCCCCATCAGCACTTTCTGGGCCTCCAAAGCTATTGTGGTTTACCCTCCATGCAATCAATCTCTATTCTCCCACATCTCTTCAACTTAGTCCCTCCTGTTCTCCAACTCACCCCTGTACTCCAGCCCAGGCTCTTTTTCTCCCTGACCTCTGGTGTAGTCTCCTTCCTGGCCCTCTACCCATCCAGGCCTAAACAGTTCATACCCCTCATGCAGCTTGTGGACTCTTTCTAAACTACACACCCAACTTTCACAGCTCAGCTTCCTAAGCCCTCCCAGGCTTGACTCAAGCTCCTGTCCCATTTGTGAGACCAGCTCCATCCCATTCTTTCCCACTTCTGACCCTGCAGGCCCCTTCCTGCTCCTTTGCCCTGGTCCATTCTTTTTCCTTTGCATACCTGTTCATCTACTTCCCTTCTATCCAGCCTGGTTCCTGGACTGGTGCTGGGATTCTGGGTTGCCCCAAACTGGGCAACCAGTCAAGGCTGCTCCTGGCCCACTTACCCCAGGAGAAGCCAAAGAGGATCAAGCCGAGGGTCAGCCTGAGCAGTCGCATCATGGTAGGTGTGAGGTTGAGAACTGGGCCCAGCTTTATTTATGGGTATCTTTGTCCTTGGGCCAAAGTCCTAGGCCTGAGACCAGGCCAGCTGTGCAGGCTCAGCTCACTCCCAGGTCCCCTGACCCAGGCCTGGACTTATCAGAGAGACCCCCAGGTGTGAGGTTCTCACCTCCACCTCCCAAAGCCTGGCCTCTGATTGGCTGCCTGAAGCACCACAAGCATTGGGCACGGGTACAAGGACATATGGTGAAACCAGATCTATAGTGTCAACCTGGTGGCCAGGACCAGGGAAGCCTCCCATAGCTATCAGGAGACTAGGCTTTCAGAGAAGGCTGCTCAGAATCCAGGAGTGTTCTGAGTGGAGGAGGGAATGGTCAGCTGTGGCCAGCTTTCCTAGGGAAGACTAAGGAAGGAGGTTCTGGGGGTTGCTAGTCCTAAAAGACATCCTCTCAGGGATTCCTCATCCATTTGGAACAGGAGTCAAATGGTGACTCTCCCACCAGCATGAGATGGAGTGGGACACAAACCCTCATGTGTATGACTCTGAACTCCATATTCTTATTAAATATAAGCTGAATCCTTGGTAACTAGCAAACCCTGGACTGAGGTTGTAGCTAGAAGGGTGATAGCAAACAAATCTCTGACACTTCCAGGTACTGGGGCTGTCATGGGAAAACCCTGGAGTCTACATCCCATTTGTTACTGAGTTCCAGGCTAAGTGTGAACTCATGGAGAGAAGACTCCCCTGTGTGGAGTTGCAACAGGTTAAGTTGGCTGGTTTCCTTCTAGGGATGTGAGGGTTTTGACTGACTCATTTTGACCTYAGACCAAAAATAAGGAAATGGGTGGATAGAGGGATGGATGGATAAGAAGATACAGACAGAAAATACAACAAAATATGAATTATTAAATCTGTGGTAGGTATATGGGTATTCAGTGGGTATATGGGTATTCAGTGAAAATTGAAACTTCTTCATTTAAGGGGTGTGTCAAGTGCAAGGCTAAGGAACACTTGATGAGAGCTTGCCTCTGGAGGGAGTTGATCCTATATCAGCWCTTATAGCCCTCATTGGGCCCAGGGTGGATCTGACTAAGACATGTGGGCTTTGTCCTGTTTCACTGATGAGCCAGGGAAAGGCTCTGGGTAGTGTTGTGATGAGGTCTTATGGGTTTTACAACGTTCCCCAGGGGCACCAGGCACAGTGGTGTACATCTATAATCCAGTGACTCAGGAGGCTGATGGAAGAAGATCACAAGTTTGAGGCCAGCTTAGTGAGACCTTGTCTCAAAATAAGAAAGGGCTGGGGATGAAGCTCAGTGGTACAGTGTTCCTAGGTTCAATCCCCAGTAGAAGAGAGGGCAAAATCAAGGCAGGAGTGGTGGGGGAGCTTCTGTGGTGTGGACTAAGAAGGAAAATTAGAAGGAAGAAAGGATGGAAGCTTTCTCCTCAAGGCTGCAATGTTGGCCAGGGCTGGGGTTCTGGAAAAATAGATGCCTGAGGTGATGGGTGATAAGGCCAGGCACTGGAGCTGTGGGAGGTAGTGGCTCCTAAAGGGATATCTTAGCCAGATCCCTGCTGGCTTCCTGTCCTGCTCCACCCAAGAAGACACAGCCATCTGTTTAGTCTGTATAGATGTTTTTATTTTCTGGGTTTATTCCCCCTTGTTCTTAGCTGTAAACCCCAGACAACTTCACTCCACCTCCATGGCCTGCACAGTTTCTTCTAGGAGCTCCAAGTTCAATGACTTCACTGTCTGGGTCAGAATGGCTGTGGTTCCAGGTGCAAAGCGGTAGCCATCAGGCCTGGGAGGGAGGAGGTAAAGCCTCTGAGCATGTGGCTTGTCCTCTTCTTGCAGCCCCCTTTTTCCATACCCTGCTACTGCCCAATCCTCCCCTGTGGCCCCACCTTCCCTGCTCCTACCTCTTTATAGGCTCTGTGGGCGAGCTCAGTGTCCGCAGCAGCTGGGCACCTGATGCGGTGATCACACATGCATCCACGCTGCCCCCAGAGCCCAAGTCACCCAGGATTCCTGCGGTAATAGCTTCCACCAGCAGCCCCTGTGCAGCCTCCAGCTATGGTGATACGTTTGTGAGGCTTAGTGGACCCTCTGGTGTTACTTCAGGCTCCAGCCCAGGGACTTTGTTAGATTTGAAGTCCAGACCAGATCATTTGTGCACACCCAACCTCCCCTCTCTTTCTTTTTTTAAAAAAGATTTTATTTATTTTTTAGTTTTCAGCAGACACAACATCTTTGTATGTGGTGCTGAGGATCGAACCCGGGCCGCACACACACCCCAGGCGAGYGCGCTACCACTTGAGCCACATCCCCAGCCCTCCCCTCTCTTTCTTTACCCCACACTCCTATTCTTTGGCCTCTGCCTCCCTCTCTCCAAGACCCATGAACCCTCCACCCACTGTCCTCCTCTGCACAAACTTCTGAATTGCCTGCACTTTTAGCCCTTTTCCAGGCTGTCCACCCACCCAATGTTCACCCCCAGTCCTATGACTCACAGAGTTTCCCTCTGGGCCTTAGCCGCCTCTGAAGTGACAGTTACCCACTTCTATCCCACTCAAGTCCAGACTTCAGACCTCAAACAGGACCCTACCAGGTTTTCCTCTTCCCTTGGCTCCTAATGATTCTCCCAGCAGTCCAAACTTTGGTACTGTCAGGACCACACTTCTCCACCTTCACTCGGTCTCTCCTCAGTCCTTGCCTCCTCTGAGAAATCCTTCCCCGACTTCTATACTGGGCCAGGTTCCCTCTGGTCCCTGGGTGTACTTCCCACTAGGGACCACGTAGGGGAGTACAGAGATCGCTTACCGTCATGTTTGGCTGGAACCGGTCCTCCAGCACCGCCAGGGCAGCGTCCTGCCCGGAGCCTGGAGGTGGAAGGGGCATCTGAGTGAAATCTGCTGTGGTCACCCCATCCAGGGACAAATGTGAGGCCAAGCTCGCAGAGGTGGGAGATTCGTGAGGAAGGGGYAGAAGCACTCACCCAGAGCAGTAAAGGGCAGTCGGCTGTAGGAACCGTGGGGGTGCACGCCATAGAGTTGTGGTCCGGTCAAGTCTACTCCGCCCACGATCAGCGATGCGCCCACGTGTCCCCGGTACCTGTTCGCCAATAGGTCTGATCAGCCGCATGCAAACGGGCTCCAGGGCCCACCCCTATTGACACCGCCATTGAATCTGACCCCGCCCCCCGAGACCTGTGTGGCCTGGCATTCCRCGGCTGACAGCGCCCCTTGTGGCCCAGATTCTGGAGGGCCAGTTTCTTCCGGCCTCCCTGCACTTCTCAGCCCCACCCTTTCTCCCTTCCCTCCTTCGGTCAGCCAGTTCTTCCCGCAACCTCCTCGTCCCGCCCCCGCACCGGAATAGCGTCTGGCGTAGGAGGCGAGTGACCGTGGCCACGCGAGGCTCGCGTCCAGTGGACATTGCGTGTAGCTCCATGTTGGATGCAGCCATCCGTGTAGTCATTTCGGCGTCTGCGGCTACTCCAGCCCCACAGCAGCTGAGGGCAAAGGAAGGGGAGGGTCAGTGTGGAAGAGCGAAGAGCTGTTTTCTTGCATGCGGGAACTGGGCTGAGGGAGTCTCACTAGATTTTGGGGGCAATGAAGTGGATCTTCTCGCAATTCTTGTCTGCCACGACTGAATCGTTAGTGGCCCTCGTATCCGCGCCCAGGATGACCCCGTCCTGCGGGGAAGAACGTCGTGCCTCAGTGCCCACCTGTTCTCTATCCGGGTTGTCCCTCAACCCACCCCTTAGTCACACTCCCGTGCTCACTCGGAATACAAGGCCTGCGATGGTGGTGCCGGTCTTGCGTGCATGAGGGACCCGAAGCCCGGGAAGGACACGTTCCAAGGATGCGTTTCTGGAAATAGAGGGGAGTGGCCTGGGTTTGGGTTCCAGTCCCAATGCCCCATCCCATCTTCCTGCCCGTGCTGGTCTTGCGCATCTCCCTGGGTAAACCAGGACCTAATCTCCCAACTCACGCTCCCCAACCCCCACCTCCTCCCGGAAAAAAAGGCTCACAAGGAAGCACAGGCCTCTTGGGACTAAGCCTCCCTATTCACCTCTGGCAGTTCTCGAAGGAGAAGCCCCCTCGGGGCTCCTGCGCGGACTTCAGCATCTAGGAGCAGGCAGGGAGAATTGGGATCAGGAGTTGATGGATCGGTTAGATGAATGGGGCCAAGGAGAGTAGAAAGGCCTCAGCCTCTGCTGCTGTGGAGCTCCACTGCTGAAGCTGACACTTCCCGCTTTCGCTTTTGCCTCTACCCTCCTAAAGAAGCCTCTGGCCTCTTTCTGCATATTTTCTTTCACTTTCACCTTCACTTCTGGTCCTAGGTAGCTTGGGAAGGATAGGGCGTCCCTTTCCAGTCCTTTGGTGCTGCTCCTTGGATCCTCTATTCCAACAGAGGGCAGCCCTTCCCCTTTGGTCATTAACTCCTCCACCCTCTTCCAATCTGATACCCCCAGCAATCTTACTCTAACTCTACACTAGCTTCAGGTGCCAGTGCCCTAAAGCTGTCAAAGCCAGGGCCAGGTCTCAGTTAATAGATCAGACCCCCACCCCCTAACTTTTGTCTTTTGTCAACTTTCTTCTCCCAGTTTCTGCCTCTTTTGCTGTCTTTGCCTCCTGGAAGCCTCAAACATGAAGTCTTAATCCTCAGCTACAGTGATGCTGGTCCTCCCATCTCTCTCAAGAGGGTCAGTGTGGGTTGTGGTTGTAGCTCTGTGGTAGAGAGCTTGCCTAGCATGGACTGCAGCTCCAAAAAAAAAAAAAAAAAAAAAAGTGGTAGGTCACTGTGGCTATCCATTTAGTTGCGTGGAGTCATACTGGGCTCCACCCATGGCCAAGCCTTGTTATTTCACCCCCCACTTTTTATTATACATATCTTTAATCACTAGACTCAGCTAGCTAGCATCCTCTCTAATTACCCCACAAATCTCTCTCCTCCTTCAGGCTATACTCTAGCCTGTACGACAGGGGTCTTTTCTAGCTTGGAATTGTTTCTCTGTTAAAATCCTTCAGCAACTGCACAGTGCTTTTAAAGTGGTTCATATTACCCTTCTCAGCTCTCTGACCTGTAGGCACCATCCTCTGGGATGCTTTCCTGACTCACAGGGCTCAGTCTCTTGCTGCTGCCAACTCTCCCAGGCTTTTGGTTATACTAAAAATTGGGCTGAAAGTGTTCGGTAGAGCCCTTGCCTAATGTGTAACACCCTGGGTTTTCCCCACAACATCACACACAAAAACGTGTTCAGTGAAATGATCTGATTAATAGCTGTCACTTCAGCACATTTTTTTGGTGCTTGGGATTGAATCCAGGGCCTTATATTACTACTAAGCTGCACTCCTCAGCCCCCAGATTCTGAACTCTTGTACATTTTCCATCTACCCCACACTCATCTACCCTTTTGGAGCTGGGAGGGATAGATGAAGTCATCCTCTCCCTGTACATCCATTCTATAGCTGCAAGTACAGCTGACTGCAGTTCCCACGCACAACACAAAGGCAGGTAAGGGCCTGAACAGCTCAACCAGAATAGTAAGCTGCACATCTCAGTGTTCAGTTCAGCTTCAGATCTTAGCAGAGCCCATCTTGCCTCATGCTCCACTGAGCACTGGTCTGTGGCTAGTGATGCATGAATCCTCTTGTGGGGACCCTCGTAGTGCCTCCCCTTCAAGCCACAGCATACAGGGCTACAGCAGCAAAAGTTTTTATTCAGGGGGCAGGGGCTCTGGGCTGGCAGTCAGGGGTGCAGGGTTGCCATGGCGGTAGGCACCCAGCAGGATGGCATTGATGTGCTCTAGTGTCTGGTTGCTAAAGACCATGTTGAGGTGCTGTGTCCCGTGCAGGGGCAGCAGGTGTACAGGCTGCGGTTGGCGGCCCTGCCAATGGCCACAGAGCTCAGTGCTTCGTGTGGCAACTGTGTCATCACCGTCCTCATAGAGCACATTCACAGGGTCCGTGTAGGGGAAGCCATGGTCATAGATGTAGGTGTGGGGCGTGGGCAGGCCCACACCATACAGACAGTATACTTCCACACCAGGTGCTGGGAGTCCTGCTAGCAGGTCACGTGACTGTAGCCACATGTACCAGCCTTCCTCAAAGCGCAGGTCTGCAAAGAAGCGTTGGAAGTCACGGCCTGTGTAGTTGAAGCTTGGCGTGGAAATAAATACATGATCCTCAGGCCACACATGGYGGGAGGGAAACATCCAAGGGGAAGTTGTTGTTATGCGCTGCTCCTCTCTCAGCTTGATGCTGGACATGAGTGGGATACCCTGGTTGTCACCTGTGGACAAGGAGCAAGGTGCAATAGGAAGCTAGGCCTGGCTACCTCTGGCCCACAATTTGCCCCCAGTCTAAGCCCAGCAGTTTGTTCAAGCTTGCTCCTGCCCCATCCAGACCTGGACTTCTAGCCATAGAGTAGGCCTGATGGTACCTCTAAGACAGTTGAGGGCCTCAAAAGGGTGGGGGAACTTTCTGAAGTTGGGGTGTATGGGGTGTTGGCTAGTCTCCCTCAGGCCCCAAGTAGGGTTCATGCTGCACAGCAATCACCAGATTGTGTTCTGGGAAAGATGAAATAAGATGGTGCCTGTTTTGCCCTTCAATGATGTAATCAGATGAGTGTCTCCTTCAGTAGACTGAGTGTCTAGGGAGAAGGCCACACCTGTCAATGCCCAGCACACAGTTAGTTCTCAACAAGTAGGAGTTGTATTAGCTCTGGGTCCTTGAGCTACTCCTCAGGGAAGAGCAGGAAAGGGCTCCTAGGTCTGGCCCTAGCTGTGGTAGATCTGTCTTCAATAAGGTAGATCCTTAGGCACAGAGGCTCCAGGAAGCAGAAGGTAGTTGAAAGTTGGGCAGGCCCTAGGGTCATGACAAGATAGACACCTTGGGTTGAATCAAATTGCTGGAGTTCACCTTCCTGTTTACTTCCACCTTGTCAACACTGGCACAGACTCTGGAAGGAATCATCCTAATAATGGTCCTGCCAAGGTCACTGTTTTCAAAGGACTAAAGAAAGCATGGCCCACGGGCAACAGACAATACTTCTAGGTGCCAACATGAGCAGARCTGGAGGAAGGTCAGCTCTGTTCCACCCCACCTCCTACAGGATACAGAAGCGTTCTCACCTGAGGCCAAGACCAGCATGGGCTTGATAGAGCCACCCCAGGGAGCCCCAAGAGAGATGAAACCATCAATGAAGCGGTCTTTCCAGGACTGAGGTTGACGTAGCAAGAAATAAAGCAAGTGCAGGCAGCCAAGGCTGTGCCCAATGAGGAAGACGGGCTTCCCGTAAGCGGCGTGCATCTCTTCTACCAGCCCAGCCAGCTTCTGGTAGTACTCCTCTTGCTGGCCTGAAGGTGGGTGGATGGGTCAGGGCAGTTGGGATCAGGGGCCACACCTGCCCAGCCCTAAGCCCATCAGTAGCAGACACTTACTGGGCTCCAGCCGCCAGTCATAGGGGGCAGCCCGCACTGTCTCATCCCGCACGTACCCGTTGTTGACCAGATTCTGTACCAGTGTATGCATATAACCTGTGGGGAAGCAGCAGCATTGGGGGGGCTCTGCTGTGACACCTGTGACCCAGCCATACTGGCCCACCACAGTCTGGAGCTCCTGGCCTTTCTTCCAGTACACACACCTGCTAGCTTGTTGCTGTCCAGGTACTCAACAGAGTAGGTCTTGCCAAAGCCAGGGACACGGATCTGTACACCAGGGGCATTGGATACACGTCCAGAGCTGCGGTTGTAGACAACCCTGAGGGAAGTGGGGACATTCAGCAGTCTGTAGCCAAGGGGCAGTGTTTATAAGCTAGGCAGAGGGCAAGGCACATACCTGGTGTTATCAATCCAGCAGTCCACTCCAAGGGGTAGAAACATATTGAGATCCAGCCAGATGGTAAAGAAGTCCTCCGTCTTGCGGTAGCACATCCAATTCACCACATCCGGTTTATCCAGCTTGGCTTCAAGCTGATTCCCCAGGCAGCCAGGCACTGCAGGCACCAGCTCTCACTCTGGACTCCTTGACTCCCCCCCCCAACCATCCCCAGACCAACCCCACCCCTATCTCCCACATCCTCTACCTCCAGGGACCAATGACACTTATCATCAGCTGATCACACACATCCCCACTTTACCCCCAGCAGCCCAAAGCACAGACTCCCCCCAGGTAGGGAAGATGCAGGAGCCAAGGCCACTGACCCCTGCCCCTGCCAAGTAAACATCCAGCCTGGCTTTCCATTATTGCCAAAGTCCAAGGTGAGAATTCAGTGGGGAGGGGCGGGGGCTGGGGGCTGGGCCTAGAGTAGTGGGCAGGCCTTCAGGGACTTCTCCTTTTCTCCTACCCTGGGCTGGGCATCTTGTCCTTGGTAGGATAGGGGCTAAGGAAGGAGTGGTGGGGCCTGACCCAGGCTCTAGTGTGGCTGTAGCTGACCACGCCTTGTAATGTTCCGGCCAAGATTTCAGTCCCCCCACAGCTCCGCCCCACCTCCAAGTAAATAACTCAGAGACAGGGAACACTGTGGTGGGGAAGGGGAAGAAATTCTCTGCAGGACAAGCCTTTGGCCCCTCCCCATGCTGAGGAAGGTATCAGGGCTAATGCAGGGGCAGAAGGGCCTTGGCATTGTCTGCTGCCAGGGTTTGGGGCCCAGGCTTCCCATGCTGGCCTAGTGCATCAAGGGCCTGACGGGGGCTTACCGAGGATGACGGGCCGAGTGTGGTTACTGAGCTCAGCCTTGGGCGTGGTGTGCGGGGGGAAGAGCACATTGAGGAGCCAGAAGGGGGTGGCAGGGGGGAGCAGCAGCCCCAGCAGCAGCAGTACCCACTGCCATGGGGAGACGGGCGGCCCCATTCCAGCCCAGTGCCTACTGCCAGATGAGGCAGTGCTGGGCAGGCCTTATCTGGTATGTGGGTGGGAGGGGCCCAGGGCTTGTGGGAGGGACAGCCTGGCCAATGGGGGTGGCCAGTGATTGCTATTGCTGGGAAGAGCCCTAGCCTCAGGGAGCCAGATCTGGGCTTGGGTTCATTTCCGCCTTCTTCTACTGGCACCAAGGGAAACAGAGCAGGGGCAGCGGGAGGCCCAGAGTACACAATGTTTTATTGAAGAAAGTCAGGCCTTAGCTCGGCCAGCTCCATTCCTCTTGGCTTAATGGGGGTCCCTGCCCACAGTAGTCTGAGCCAGGTCTTCCTGCAAGCAGGATGAGTTCAACCCCCGCCCTTTCTGCCCTTCCCCTTCTCCCAAATGGTGACATCCAAACAATAAATATACAATAAATAGTGCTCTTGGGCTGGGCTGGGCCTTAAAACCCACATCAGCCCCCACCGGTAGTCTTTAGCCAGGGCATCCTACTGGGGTATTGGAGAGGAAAGTCCCCACACCTCCCAGGGTCCCACAGGAACTCAAATCCATCTCCGTTGCCAGGCCCAGACCTGGTTTCCCAGGAGACCTAGCAAAGCTGGCCCAAGGCAAGGCTGGGCAAAGCAGAACTGGCAATTAGGTGCTCAGGTGGGGGCTATTGCCTTGGATACCCCCACTCTAGGCCATAAGACCACACTGGGCTCAGGAATAGATGGTAATGACTTCACGACCACCACCACGCACCAACAGCACCCGTTCAAGGCCCTCAGTCAGTACTTCAAGGAACTCCATGTCTATAGGTATCAGGTCAAGGAGACAGCAGCAGGACCAAGGGGCAATCAGGGCCACCCCCACCCAAGGGCACCCCAGAAGGAAAACTCCTGGCCTGACCTCACACTTTGTCCACCTCCCCATGGCCTGCCTCTCCACAAAGGGATACAGTTCTCATCACCTTCACTGTTCTTGGGTGGGCCAGGCATGTTCAGTAGGACTAGGCGGGCATCATGGGATCGTGTGACAATAACTTCATTGAGCTTCACAGCAGTGTGCATACGCCGCACGTTGGACTGGTCCCTGACATAAAGAACCAGAATCTAGCAAAGTTAGCCTCTGTCCCTGCCCACCCAACCCAGCCTGTCTGTCCCACACTGCCTCTTCCCTGGGGCCCAACAAAGCTGGGTCTATATTTGCTACACTCACGGCTTAATGTGAACCAGCTCCCGGAAGTTGTCAGGGGCATGGCTGGGGTCCCAGGGTTCAGTCATGTACTTGTCCCGAGTCCATGTCATCTGGATCTTATYGGCCCCTGCAGCAGACTCATCTTCCTCATCTGAGTATAGGCTCTCCAGCCGCAGGGCTGAGTGCCGGTCCTTGACTAGTTGGGCCTGAGAACAGAGGAGATGGCCTGGGCACCCTGAGAAAAGGAGGGCCTGACTGGCCTGACATGATTACTCTGCCTCCAGGAAATGGGCACTGGCTTAGGTAGGGCCAGGATGAGTCAGTCTGATGTCCCCATAGGATGGTGTCTCCAAAGGCCTGACCCTGCCACCCACCCCCAGCCTGAACCAAGGCAGCCACTGACTTCACGTTCCCTCTCAGTCTTGGTCAGCCTCATTTGCCGCAGCATCTGGGACCGCTGCTCCATCATCAGTGTGCGCTCATAGGTATATGCAGATATGTCGCTATTATGCTGGGGAGAGAGGAGGCTGTGAAGATGTGGTTGCATGGCACTCGGTATCTTCAAGGCAAGGGTGGGGTAGGCAGCTCACCATYTCCACCACCTCCACCTCTGCCTCAAGGCGGAGGTGGTATAGGAAGATGGCCAGATCCTTCTTCATCTGGATGCTGTTGTCATCCATCTGGGCAACCGTGAAGATGCGCATCCTGCACTTTCTCCAAACCTATGGCAACGGAACAGGGGGGTGGTTCAGTCTCATGTAGTCCTCCAAGAGCATAGCCACTCTCACCCAAGACCATTCACCTGGCCTACCTTATGTTGGCGCAGCAGGAAGGGCAAAAGCATGAGCATGCCACCGTCATGTACAATCCACCACACATCGATGTGGCCCTCCAGGTAGCGCTCGTGGTTGCTGGGGTAGAAGGCAATGTTTTTGGGCACAAGCAGGGCCAAGTGGGCAGCTGTAGTGCAGCGCACTGTGTCTAGGGAAAAGGAGCACTACTGACCATCAGCCTGTGTCCCTCAAGCCTCTGCCACCCCATGACCCTGGCCCCTGGCCCTTCACACACCAATAAAGGTCTTCCAGGCACGTGGGTCCTCACTCTGTCGCCAACCATAGGGCCAGCCCAGCACCACGGTGTTATGCCTCATGCCACCCAGGCCACAAGACTGGATGAGGTGGGCCAGCCCCTCACGCACCTTGCTGGCCACCACTACCTGACAGAAGCCTTTCACTTTCTCAATCTCCATCATGTTCTTGATTGTCTGTGGGGAACACAGTAGTGTCAGGAAGTCAGGCCACCAGCTTCCCTCTTCTGGGCAACCTTCTAGGGCTCTCAGGCACATAACTTCTTGGAAGTGGGGGAGGGCTTGGAACAAGTTACCCACCCAGAGGCAATGTTTTCAAGATGGGACAACTATATTCTCTTGTTCCAGCTTGAAGGGGCAGCAGTGTTGTCTACCTGGCTGGCCAGGCTGGCCAGGCTTGGTCCCCTCCTCTATAAGCCAGTACAGCCCAGATACCATTGATCTGGCTCCATTCTTCCCCACCCTCTGCAGGCACCTGCTCAGCAGCCTGGGCCTCGCCATAGCTCTCCAAGAAGCTGCCCTGGATGACGGAGCCAACAATCGTCAGGCCCTTGCCAGCCTTAAGCTGAGAGGCAAAGGTGAGGAGTCGTGGGTACTTCACATGAAGGTCTTCATCCAGCTTTAACAGCACCAGGAGCTGAGGCCTGCAGTGGCCAGATGGGGAGGCAGCTTGAGACCACGATCAGGCCTTTTCAGGGCACCCCTTCTTTTCTTCCCTTCTCAGATCATGGGCTCTCATATTTTGGATAGTGTAGACCCAAGGGTACAATAAGCAGGAGGGCATCCTTAGCAATCCAAGGAGGGGGAAACAGGACTAGGGATGGGGATCCAGCACTTTTGGAGGCTCCTACCCTCCCAGCACTCCCTAAGAACCTTGAGATGGCCCGTGCTAGACTGGGTGTGAACTCACCGCCAGTTCTTGGTATGAGGAGGCCCTTCTTCCAGCCTCAACAGCGCATAGCGGGCAGCACTCAGGGATAGGCCTCTGATCCCATCACCCCATTCCTTCTCAGCCCTGCAGATGCCACAAGCTTGTGAGCTCCAGGTGCCACCCAGGGAATTTTATTTTTTGGTAGTGCTGGTACTGGGAATTGAACCTAGGACATCACACTTGCTAAGCAAGTACTCTACCACTRAGCTATACCTCCCAGCTACATCCCAGCCCTTCACCAGGGATTTCTGTCTATATGAATGCAGGAATGGAAAGAGGTTAGGCCCTGAGTCAGAGCCTTCCAGTCCTATCACTCATGGTAGATACCAAAAGTGGCCCTGCTCCCTCAACAACTCACCATTCAGACCATCCCACTTCTTAGCCAGGAACCCTCAGCCATATAGGTTATTGATAGTCCCTTCACTCACCCTTGGTACTCGATGTACTTGTAGATCATGCCTGCGATGAGCATGGCAACCAGAGCATAGTACCAGGAAGAAACAAACATAAGGGCCAGGCAGAGGCTCATGCCCAGGAAGGACAGTGCCCTAAGACAGAGTGAGGAGAGAGGTAGAATCAGGGCAAGACTGGTAGGGTCCTAGGCCATAACCCATCCCATGCCCTGGTAGCCCTGTGAAGTCCCAAGTCACAATCTGGGTATAAAAACTAGGCTAAGGCCCCTACCTCCTTCCCCATAGTGTTTCAAGAGTAACCACTGCCCAGCAAACTCAAAACTTCATTCAGAATGGCATTCTTAGACTCCCTGATACCTCCTATGTCAGGGAACTTGATTCAAGGGTCTAGCTTACCAATGATAGTATTTGAACCGGGGCCGCCAGTTGGGGGTCCTCAGGAGTGTCTGTACAGCACAGGCCAGGTTCACAAATAGGTAACACATCAGAAAGAACCTGTAGCACAGGGAGTTGGTCGGTACAGAGTAACCTCCTTAGTATCTCCGGGTACCTCATGTCAGGCTGAGCCTGGACCTTCTAGGCCATGTCTTTCCCTTCACTGCATGGACACAGTCAGGTCCTCCCACCCCCACAGCACCCACTCCTGCAGCCTCAGGAAGATGGGACTATGCGGAGAAGGTGTCCTTGGAGCCACGTTGTGTCAGGAGACACATGCAGCTGGCCTTGCCCATGTCCATGTTATAGATTTCCTAAACAACAAAAAGAGGCATTTTGTTTGTTTGTTTGAGAAGCTGTACCTGTTAAAACCACGAAGAGGATGAGGGAGCCCATATCCTTACAGCCAGCCTTACCCATGTCAGAAGAGAATGGACCAATGATCCCTGGCAGAAGGCTGGAAGGGGATGAGGGCCCCAGGATATCAAGTAGAGAGCTGGGATAGGATGGTGTCAAGGAATGCTGAGGAATGCTCAGTGTCTGAAGATTGGCTGGCTGATACTGGCCTGGATGACCAGTGGATAAGAAGCTGTCACACGTGGGAAAGACGAACAGATCCAAGAGTAGATGACAAAGACCATATGAATGCACTGGATTAGACACCTGAGAGAAGCTGCTGTGGGAGTAGGAATCTGGAACATGGGCAAGGCTGGCTGTATGAGCCCTCCCAGGTAGGCAGCCAAAAAGATGGCTAAGGGGAGGGGGCACAACTTCTACCCTCAGCTGATAGAGAGTAATGGTAGATTGGAGGCAGGAAGACTCCTGAGTGGGGTGCTAGGGGTAGGGGATTCYGTGAGAGGTAAGTCCCATCAGGATCTGCCAGTAAGTACAACATAATAAAGGCTGAGCAGTGTCCTTTGGCTTTGTACCTAGAACCATTTGAGGTGTGAGGGATGGGTTGAGTTGGAGGCAGAGGACAGCCCAGGTACAGCAGGCCTAGCTGCAGCCAGGGTGGARACTATTTGCAGGGAAGGAAGCCCTGTCAAGTCTACAGGCTAAGGAGTGAAGGAAGTCAGGCCCTTCAGAAGAACAAAGCCCATCAGCCATGGAGCAGAGTGTGTGATGACTCCAACATRGGCAGAGGTGAAAACAGCAATTAAAGAAACTCTGCCTCAAGAGTTACTGGAAATCTCCACGTGCAGATCACCAACTGCA